CCCGCGGATTTCCCTACGACGACTAGTGAAATTTACATGCCCCTTCCGGAAAAGGGGCCAGTGTAGACGTAGCCTACATGTTCTTAGACGTTTCCTATCAAACCATCCTTCGGTAATCCACCTGAGGCTTCATAGTGGAAATGGACAGGCACAAGGAGAAAAAGAATTAATCTCTTGTCTTCTAGCACTGCCCAACTATTGGCAGCCTTTCACTGGAAAAAGAAAAACATACCAATCCTTGGAGAAATTGTTTAAAAAAAAGTGTGGGGGGGGGAGGCTGTGGTTATGGAAAAATTAATACGCCAATTATATACCGAGCAAAATAGATGAGACAGATAGATATTTAAATAATTGCTTACCTTTTATTCAATAATCAATGTATTCACTACGCCTGGCCAGTTATTTAATGTTAACATTCAATATTAAACAGACCTAGTATGTCTATGTATAACTAGAGATTTCTTTCTATTTAATAAAATCACTAGAAACAACATTTGGTTTCTAATGACGCTGTCTGTAATTTGTAATTTAATGATGCTGACTAATTTCCTGTGAAATAGGAAGATCTGTAATCCTGCAAAATCTCTCTTTAAGGCTCATTGTTGTAATGATAAACAATGAGAAGTCCTGTGGCACCTTATAGACACATATTTAGTTATTCTATATATGGAGCATAAGTTTTTGTGGGCAAAGACCCACTTCGTCAGATGCACATGATGAAGTGAGTCTTTGCCCACGAAATCTTATGCTCCAATAAATCTGTTAGTCTATAAGGTGCCACAGGACTTCTTGTTGTTTATGCAGATTCAGACTAACATGGCTACCCCTCTGCTACTTGTTGGAATGATAATGGTTGTTTCTGATATTTATATAGCTAAGGTTTCTAAACATGTTAGAACTTCCTAAGTAAATAGGCTTGTTTAAAAAAGCACATCAGGAGCAGTAGAAGAACAAGCTTTTGCCTATGCTGCCCTCTGCCAGGGAGACTCGAAGAAATGACTTCCAGGGTTTGGAGACAAGTGCAGTCTCTGTGCCCCATTCGCTTTCTGCTGTGAACAGTCATCAATGTGTGGGACTGGCTTTTGGGAAGTGTGTACGTACCTTGCTGAGAATTGCATTAATCTACCCCAACTCATTTCCCACCGGTAACAAAACAGCTATTAACTTTTAAGAGCTTTTTGATTACTACCACAGTCATTCCATTAGAAATCCTGAGTCATCATATTCAAGCTTCTCTTTGCCTTCAAGACCCTTCAGAAGTCTGCTCCTTCCTACTCATTCATTCTCGTCTCTTCCCACATGTAGCCTCCATTTCATAGATTCTAGGGCCAGACAGAATCACTGTGACCCTTTGGCCTTTTAGTCAGTTTCTTCCACAAATGGTTCCATGCTTTCATGATGCCCATTGTCCCTAAAATGCTCTCTTTGAATGAATCTGTGTGGCCACTAATCTCGCCTCCTTCCTGTCCCTCCTCTGGAGCCATTTCTGCGGTGATGTTTGCAAGAAATCAGCCAAGCGTTGAGGACTAGGTGGTGTGGTGCTTGGGGATTAGATGGATTTTTTTTAAATAGATGATTTAGAACCACTAAGTTGTGCAACTCCTAATCTGTGTAACTATGTGATCTAATTATTTCTTGCATCTTCCCCCCCCCCTTAGTCACAGGTTGTGTCTTATATAGAATGTAAGCATTTTAGAGCAGGGGCTGCATCTTCCTATACATTTGCACATCACCTGCAGAGCAGGGCTTGATTTCATTGGGAGCCTTTGGGCATTTTCAAAAGCTAGCAAAAGAGAAATGCAGGCCTTGTTTCAGGATGTTTTAATCAGTGAGATACTTCAGGGGTTACGGGTAGAGCTGGTCGAAAAATTTTCAATTGAATGTTTTCCCATGGGAAAATGCTGATTCACTGCCATTGAAATGGTCCCTGGGTCCATATGGGCTGCCTCTGATCTTCTTCAGAACATAAGCAGGTTCCAAAGCTAGCATGGATTCTTGCATCCTTTGTACCCTCAGGCTGCATCTATACTGCAGGTTTTTTGCGGAAGAGGAAATGCAAATGGAGCACACATTTGCATATCTCATGCTCTCATTTGCATATCTTCTGTCGATCCTTTTTGCGGAGAGGTTTTTGCAATAAAAAGCTCTGTGTAGATGGGGCCATTTGTCAGAAAAAAAACCTTTTGCACAAGAGCCTGTAAACCTCATTTTTTTAGGAATAAGGGCTCTTGCACAAAAGAGGTTTTTTTCTGACAAATGGCCTCGTCTACACAGGGCTTTTTATCACCAAAACCTCTTCCACAAAAAGGATCGGAAGCAGAATTTCCTCTTCCGCAAAAAACCCACAGTGTAGACGTAGCCTCAGTGGTGGCCTGCCTTGGATTTGGAAGTCTTGGTCAGCCAGTCCTTTTGGCTAGACAGCAAGGCATTTGGGACCCACAGCTGAGCCAGGAGCGTCAGCGCTTTGGCTTCCAGAAGATAGGTTGGTTATTAATTTTCTAAATTAAACATTCTGGTTATGTCAAAATGTTTTTTCCAGAATTACTCTTCTGCAGGAAATTGCGAAGTTGCTACTTTTCATTTTGAACTAGTGACTTTTTTCCTTTAAAAATGTTGCAATTTTCCCACAGAAAGGGGCATTCTGAGTTTTAAACAACTCTAGGTAGGAGTTCATGGGGTTATCACTTGAGGTATATACACAGGGATAATGTCTCCATAGAATCCACTGGGAGTTATGCACATTGCTGTGGCTGACACTGCTGTAAGTTGACACATGCATGGGCTACCTGGTTCATTCCTAGCATAGCTGATAATTGTGGGCAGTTGAGTTTTCATCTGTGCTTGTCACAAGGCTCAAAAAAGACCAGTTATGGTCTGTCTGATAAGCTTGTTGCTATGTCCTGCAGGAGGCCTGTCTTCAGTTTCTGGCCCCAGTCTGCCATGGTGTGGACTAGATGCCTATTTCAGAAAATGAGAAAGGAGATCCTCAGAGTTTCTTGGTTGATTAAATCATTCTTAGGTTAGGATCTGGCTGGCTCACAGAATTTTTTAATGACTTCGTAGTTTTTCATTTGTAGATCAACCAATTTGATATTGAAACTGTAGCTCCCGAAGGCTGGTCAGTGGCCTATGTACATGGGTTAGTGGAAGGCATGGCATGGCTTTGCAGATTTCTTGTCCTCAGCCCCCTCTCGCTCCGTGCAACATTTGTTCCAATGCAGGAATACTTAAAGTCAGATTCCTCTTCGTAGGGTATCATTTATTCATTCATACTGGAAGACAAGCACTTTTCCAATCCAGTTTCAAACCTTGTTCTCCCGTAAGTCAGAAGTCCTATAACCATCCTTCTTCAGCTCATGCTGAGGTTTCTAGGTATGTAAGCGATTACTCGAGTGGCTGACTATCCAGTACACTTAGGCTTATCGGATAGTTGAGTCACTACACAACTACTCACTGCCCCATACTTGCTGCCTCTGAAGCAGAAGTTAGTGCTGTGGGGAACGGGCTGAAAAGCCGGTTCTCCCCAGCACCGTCTCCATACTGCATGGAGGGGAGGCAGAGCCACCGTGGTCCCGGAACTGGCGCGAGCCAGAACTATTCAGTCACAGATTGTGCTGGCTCTAGGAGCCACTTGTGCTGTGACTCTGCTTTTTAAATGTAGTTAGAGCAGCCAAACTCTTACTACATTTAAAAGGCAGAGCCACAGCAGGGAACCTGGTCTGGGACCCAGCGCGAGCTGGGACAGCTGAGTCCTGGCTTGCGCCAGGTCCCAGACCTACCCCTCCTGTGGTTTTGCAGTTTAAATGGAGTAGGAGCTGGTCTGCCTGCACGCCCGTCTCCTACTCCATTTAAACTGCAGAGCCACAGCTTATTGACTAATTGTGTTACTTGATACAATTTTTATTGAGTACACGATCAGTCAGTTACCTGCTTCTTAACATCCTTAGTGTATGGTTATTCAAGTCAGTTGCATTACACCAGGATGAACTTAGGACACTGTGTATTGGTTGGCTAAGCAGTGATTAAGACATGATAACTGTGAATATTTGAAGGATGTAATAGTAATTGTTTTGGAGTAGGGGAAGGGTTAAACTCGTTTAGGGTGATGACAAAGTTATTCCCTTTTAAAACCTTTCTCCACCCTCAGACCCACCAACAGGGCAGGCATACAGAGGGAAGGGGAGGTAAAGGGGACAGTTACTGTGGCAACTGTGGTGGCCCTGGGCCCTGTAAATAGGGTTACCAGGTAGACCCCCCCCAAAAAAACCGGACACACTTGACCTTTGGGTGGGGGAGGAGAGACCAGCCAGGAGAGGGGTGGGGCTGGCCAGAAAGGGGCGAGAGGTGGGTCTGGTGGGGGAAGAGGAGGCCGCGGGGCTGGCCAGGAGGAAGTGGGGGGCGGGAAGCAGAACTGGGGACCCTGGGCCCTGTAAATAGGGTTACCAGGTAGACCCCCCCCAAAAAAACCGGACACACTTGACCTTTGGGTGGGGGAGGAGAGACCAGCCAGGAGAGGGGTGGGGCTGGCCAGAAAGGGGCGAGAGGTGGGTCTGGTGGGGGAAGAGGAGGCCGCGGGGCTGGCCAGGAGGAAGTGGGGGGCGGGAAGCAGAACTGGGGAGGGATCAGGGGCCGGAAGAAGGGGGGGCCGGAAGCAGAGCTGG